CCTTTTTGTTTTTGGTTTTCGAGCCTCTAAAGTGCGTTCGAAAAAACTCAGCAGTCTCATCCATAACAGTGATGAACTCCCAAGAGTCAATTCCTGTCAAGTTTCCGTCTACTTCCAACGCATTATCGATACCGGTAGTCGAGCTTGTGACTTTGAAGTTGTTCCTGGAAGTGAGTTTGTAGTCTCTCGCAAAGCTTTCAAGGACAATTCGAATTATTACTATGTCAACGACTGCAAAGCCAGTTTCAAAGAAGTCACTGGCCTTCTTCGTCAGCATGGAATTGATCTAGATCATAACAGATTCTTGATTTTACAAGGGGAGGTCGAACAAATTTCTCTGATGAAACCCAAAGCCACAACTGATTACGAGACAGGTTTTCTAGAGTACTTGGAGGTTGGTGATTGGGTGACTTGACGTACTTCTAGGACATTATCGGCTCGAATAGGTTTAAGCGGCCGCTGGCTATATTGGCGGACCGTATCGAGCGATTAAAGGACATTCGGCTGGAGAAGTTGGCCCGTGTTAAAGCCGTAGAGAAGGAGAGGAATGAGCTGGAAACAGTAAAAGATGAAGCCGTAGCTTATTTGCGACTAATCAACAAAGTGACGCGCATTAAAAATGTTATTTATCAGAAAAAACAACAACAAGAACTTGCAAATGAGTCTCGCTATCGCAAAGAACTCGTTGCTGTGGAACAACAGGTTGAGGTAACGAAGAATATTGCATTTCCATGTCACCTTAATCTTTTACTTGGCGTTCGCCGTTGATGGTGCATCTGTCTTGCTACCGGTGGTGCATCCACTTGGCACATTTTATTGATAACGCTATAAGTAAGGATTGGGTTGTAGAGGTGATGGTGATTGCCAGGTGGACTTTAGCTTGATCGTTCGTTTGAAAGAGAATAATGTAGTTCTTATTCGTTGCAAATCGTATTATCGATTCACTCATGTATCTTAAGAATACGCATTTGTCACTCATGATGCCATTCTTTTGATGAAGATGAAGTTAATCAATGATTTTTGAATTGAGGCCAGGCATTTGGAGATCATTGGAGTTTTTGAGGATGAGATGAAGTCAGTGTATATGTTTGCGATATAGAGAAGGAGAATGGTTAGGAAATGCCTCACCTTATTTATGAGTTAAAGATCATTACGTTGCGCCCTTAATTATGTAGTCGTTGGAACCTCTGATATCCATTCCTTGATTTTTTTCAGGAATTTGCCAAAGAGGTTAAGGATCTAATGGAGGAGTTACAAAAGCTTAAATCCAAACGTGATGAAGACGAAAAACGTGCCTCCATTCTTCAGGAGCAGCACAGAGCTGCAAAAACTCGCTTCGCCGGATATGAAGCCGAGGATAGCCGATTGCGTGATGAGCACGCTCACCTCAAAGCCCAGGGTAAACGAACAGTAAAAGCGTTGGCAGCTGAGCGCAAGAAACTGGATGAACTCCGTCGCTTACCGGGAGAGGCAGAGGAACGGAAAGAGACTCTGAAATTTCAGTTAGCTGAGCTCGAGGCGAATCGGGCAAAACAGGAAGCGATATATAAAGAAACGATGGACATTTTGACACAGGAAACAGCTCCCTTGCGAAAAAAGATGGAAGCAGCTGAAGCGGCCTTGGCGCCGGTTCAGAAGGCGGCAGATAATGCCGCTTCCAAGCTGGCGATTGCTCGACAGGAGCTGGATCTTGCGATGTCGGCTGTGCGACGGGAGGAAGAGAGGGCAAAGGAGGCGCGAGATGGCGCTCGGTCCGCTCAGGATCGATTGGCGGAGCGCAAGCGACAGTTGGCGGACGCGAAGCGCAACGCAACACCACTGCAATTAAAGGAATTGCAAAGGGTGAAGAATGAAAGGGAGCGGGCTGCTGCCGAGGAGGAGCAACTAGTTGAGCGGGTTAACCAACTTAGGTCCTCTTTGGTGGAGGCTAAATCCACTTTCCAAGTGAGCTTTTGGTTCTTGTTTCTAAAATCTCCATTAATTTCAATCGTCTTCCCTTCTCAGAGTGACCATTCTCGGAACCGTGTCCTCTCAGCTCTGACTACAGCAGTCCAAGAGGGAAATCTTGATGGTATTCTCGGACGTTTGGGAGATTTGGGTGTGGTTCCACAGAAGTATGATGTCGCGATATCGACTTCTTGTGGTGCGTTAGACCACATTGTTGTGGAAACTATGGAGCTTGCTCAAAAAGCTGTCGAATATTTGAAGAAGTACAACCTTGGACAGGCGTCGTTCATCGGTGAGACTCTTTTTTTTCTGTTTTTTATCATCTCTGCATTCCTTGGAAATCTTAGTTGATTATCTGTTTACCTTTTTCCTTAATTAAACCATGAGGCTACCCACGGGTGGTGCATGCATTCTTCCTGATCCGTTTATCTGTAATTTTATTACACCTCGTTCAAGTAATTCTTTGACCTTCCTCAGATTTTCGGTACACCCTTGAGCTGCCATTGCACATGTTAAACCACTGCGTCTTCTTTCGGCTCACTCAGTTTGAATTGAAAGGTGTGACACACCCTAGACACAATTTTTCCCCACTTGCATAGCAGTACTAAAAGAAGGGAGCGTTTTTAGCTTTGGACAAGATGGAGCGTTGGGCAATCGAAGCAGCCAAACCATTTGTTGGTCCAGTACCAGCAGCCCAACGGCTCTTCGATTTAGTTGACACCTCTGCAAATCCGCGAGTTAAGCCATGCTTCTACTTCGCGCTCCGAAACACCCTTATTGCAGATAACTTGGATGTAGCAGTGGATTGGGCCTTCAACCATAAACAGCGCTTCAGAGTAGTTACTCTTCAGGTAAGTGTATGACAGTTCGGTTGATCTCTTCGACTTGAAGCATCTGTTCTTATTGAATCCAAGTTTAATCCTTGCAATGAGCAACTGCGATAGAGTAACTCGTTCAAAATTTGCTGCGATATTGCTCTGTCTGTTTGTTTATGCAACAACTTGTCAAATCAAAGGCTCTTCATCTCCTACAGAACCACCTCTTTAGGCTTGTCTTCTTTACATCTGACCCATCCATCTGTCGCGAGCCGGTTCCTCATTCTATGATTCGGTTTTTTGATCTAAATTCATTCATAAATTTTCTGTTTCACGTATTTATTCCGTGACGACTAGTTTCGATATTGTTTGGCTGAATTTGCGGTGAACCGTAAACAGATCTATCGTTTTTTTACCAACCCAACTGATGGATTTGTCCATTTCATTTTGTTGGGTGTATTTATCAGTAAAATACATACCCATCCCTACCTCGTCCACGATTCAGTCATCGGCAGTGTCTGGCTTCACCTTACTGAAAAGGTCAATCATTATCGGTAACTTTGGACCACATATTTAGCGGCTTGAGCCTTAATTGTCTGCCAGGGCCAATTGATAGAGACATCAGGAGCCATGTCCGGCGGCGGCAGCGGACGTCCGATCTCTGGCCGCATGAACACAGATGCACAGAAGGCACGCCGTCGCAGTAGCGGTGTTCCACTTAGTACAGAGGCACTAATCAAGGAGAAGGAGACGGAACTTGCCGCTTGTGAGGTCCGTCTTACGGAGGCTCGACAGGATCGCGAACGGCTTGAAGATACTGAGGCTCAGCTGTCGCAACGTATTCAGGAGGCCCAACGAGTTGTAACAAAATGTCAGGTGAGTTTAGCCTACTTCGACTCATGACTGCTTCGGTAGAATGAGATAGAGCGGCTAGGCGAAGAGGCAGAGGTGCTGGCGCAGGAGGCAAAACAAGCAGAAGTTCGTGCGGCACAAACAGGACCTTCAAAGGAGGAAAAAACGAGGATGGAGGGATTGGTGGCTAATTTAGAGCGTCTTCATGCGAGTAAGGCAGAAAAGGCAGACGAATTGCGCAGACGGGTGGATGAAGTGAAGAAGGCTCTGGTAGATGCTGGGTCCGCGAGACTCGCAGCTGTTCGATCGAGGGTTGGATTGGTGGAATCGAAGATTAAGGAGGTGAGCTGGAGATAGGAGCAGTAGATTGATCAACAAACTCACTAAACTTGAACACTTCGGTGGTAGGTATCTGACGGTGTTTCCCCACCTCCATTGCATCTACCAACTTTAATTGTCATTTTATTCACCAGTCAATTTCGGAACGCACATTTTGCAGACAAATGATCTCTTCACGAAACTTGAGGTGGACATTAAGTCGGCACATCGCAACCAGGCGAAATGCGAGGCGAAAGTGAAGGGCTACGAAGAAGAGGTGGAGATCCTCAAGGAGAAACTCACTGCTATCGAGGCTCGCATGGTGGAGATCGAAAAGACTGCCAAAGTCTGCATGGATGAATTTCAAGAGCTCCAAAAAATGGTGAGTATTTGAAATCACGCACATCCCCTTGATCATGCCAAACATTGAAGGCAACCACTAAAGCAGGTGTTGAATCTTCTTCGCTTCTGAATCGTTCATGCCAAAATACGGTTGTCGATAGTTTGTTACTTCTCGTATAGATCAAGGACCTGACTCAGGGTTTGTTGGCGATCAGTGAAGGGATTGATAAGGTGGAGACTGCATTGGCCGCCAGTCGGAAGGCTGAGGGTGGAGTGCAGCGCAAGGCCGAAGAGCTTCGCATTCAAGCTAAAGAGGCTGCAGGACGGGCAAGAGGCTGGCAAATGAAACTGCGCTCTCTCCGACTCCACACCATAGAGGATGATGATGAAGACGAAGAAGCTGGAATAGGAGACAGTACTGAAATCGATAGGCATGGAAGCCAATCAGGGGATGATGTGACGCCTAGTTCCGTATCCTCGAGTTTGGCTGCTATTTCCTCTTCTTCGAAGGAAAGGAGCTTGAAGCTGCCTGTTTATACGGAGGAACAGCTGGCTGGTGAGTGTTTATCCTAATGCTCTTTACTTGTCCTTTTGGGTTCTTGCAATCGTGGTCATTTTTGACTCCCATCTTTGTCTGCAGCTGAGCTACAATTCATTATAATGCCAAACCATATTAGTTGGTTAAGTCTGTCTTTTGCTCTGCGTTTAATCACTTGTAGAAATGAAGGTGAACGAAGCTGAAGTTCATCGTTTAGAGGAGCAGACAGCATCTATGGCACCAAACATGTCTGCCATCGAGCAATACCGCAAGAAGGTTGACCTCTACCTCAAACGCGTGGCCGAGTTGGACCAGGTTACCGAATTACGATCTGAGCAGTTGCGTCAGGAGGCTGACGCCAAGGCAAAGCGTCTCAGCGAATTCATGAGTGGTTTCAACATTATTACGACAAGGTTAAAGGAGATGTATCAAATGTTGACGCAGGGTATGTACGCTTTACAACTTTGCATAACTTTTAATTTCTCTCTTAGGAGGGGATGCTGAGCTTGAGTTGATAGACTCATTGGATCCCTTCTCAGAGGGCATTGTTTTCAGCGTCCGACCGCCGAAAAAAACATGGAAGAGTATCGCAAATTTATCGGGAGGAGAGAAGACCCTTTCATCCTTAGCTCTGGTTTTCGCTCTTCATCACTACAAGCCTACACCACTTTATGTGATGGATGAGATAGACGCGGCTTTGGATTTTAAAAACGTCTCAATTGTGGGCAATTATGTGGTTGAGAGAACAAGAAACGCGCAATTTGTGATTATTTCGTTAAGAAACAACATGTTTGAGTTGGCGGACAGGCTGGTGGGCATTTATAAGACCCACAATATTACCAAATCCATTGCGCTGGATTGTGCTTGTCTGTCAAAGCGGTTGGAAGCTGCGGTGGCTGCGAGACTGGGAACGAAAATTCAAAACACTTCCGGCAGTCAATGTACTGTAGACATTTTAACACGAGCTGATTCCTGCTTTCCCAGTGCGCTTATTGAGTGCCTGTTATTTACAGGTATCCCATCCAAACAGGCGGGTACGGGACGGCTGGAGGCACCAGAGGAGGCGGCCGAGGTGGAACAGGCGAAGAGTAATTGCAGTACCGATTCTGCGCAAACATTCATTCCGCAAATGAACTAAAAATTGGAGTCAAGTTATGCATTTTACGTCCATGTTCGTACTCAAG